ACCCGCGTTCAACGAACGCGCGGTAACACAACCGCCCCCACCAGTCAATCAATCAATCAATCAATCAATGAATCAATCAATGAACGAAAAAAAAAAGCAAAATCGGATGAATCTTCCGCTAGAACATGAAAATATACAATCCTACCTGTGTGTGTGTATGTGTGCGCCAGTGGGGCGAATCAATCAATCAATCAATCAATTAATCAATCAATCAATCAATCAATCAGTCAATCAATCAAGCAATAAAATAAAAAAATAAAAAAACGTGCTGTTTTTTTTTTTTTTTTTTTTTGAAATACCTTCAGTCACCCAACCGCTCCCCCCGAAAAAAAAATTATATTTTTTATTTTTTTTGGTTTGAGGGGGTGGGGCTGGGGTTGCGCCGCCCCATAGCGCGGACACGTCCGCGGGGGTGTGGCCGCGGACTTGTCCGCGGATGGCCGCTGCTGAGGGAGATTCAGAGGTCCTGTACCATATTTAGGAGGGTTTTGTTTGGTCCGAGTGAGTTGCGGATCTGGACTATTACTAGTGTGTTTGGATGAGATAGTTCATCCCTAAGTGTGCTTTGAGTTGAGATCTATCATAACCTATTCCTTTGTATATGACGATCACAATCACTCTTACGTGTATGGTTTTATCCTGATATATGATGGCTTTGCGTAAGGGATGTATGGGAAACAACTCGTGTGCTGTGTACTTTGTGAATGTAAATGGATGTGAACTGTCTAGTCTTTGGTATACTTGTGCGATCTGCGCACGGGCGGGTAATGGGGCCGGGCCACGAATCCTCCTCGGCGGCAACCGAGCGCGGCGAAATCCGCGGACGTGGCCAGTCCGCCGACCCCGTGGACACGTCTGCGCGGCCGTGCGACTTCGCGGACGTTTGGCGTCCAGTGGGGAGGGGGTTTCGGGATTCGGGAATCGCCATTCGGCGGCGCATCCCCGGCCCCACCCCCCCCCACAAAACAAACTGGAAAAAACAACATCTTTTGGTTGGGGGGGTTAGGCTGCCGACAAGAAGAAATGAAGAAAAAAAAAAGAACGCGTTTTTTTTTTTCTTTTTTTCTTTGATTGATTGATTGATTGGTGGGGGCAGAGTCGGCCCGCCCCGCCTTTGATTGATTGATTGATTGATTGATTGATTGATTAATTTCTTCGATTTTTTTTTCTTTTTTTGATTGATTGTTTGATTGATTGTTTGATTGATTGATTGATTGATTGATTGATTGATTGACTGGTGGGGGAGGGGTCGCCCCACCCCGCTATTGATTGATTGATTTATTTATTTATTTAATTTTGCTTTATTTTTATTGATTGATTGGTTGATTGATTGATTGATTGATTGATTGATTGATTGATTGATTGATTGGTGGGGGAGGTGTCGCCCCACCCCCCCGCCACCCACCACGTGCACGCGCGGATACACACACACACACACTCTTACAATCTTTCTTTCTCTCTTTCTCTCTCTCTCGTGCGCGCGCACACACACACACATGCGCGCACACACACACACANNNCACACACACACACACACACACACACACACACACACACACACACACACACACACACACATTCACACAAACACACACACACACACATAGTCACTCACAATCAATCAATCAATCAATCAATCGATCAATTAATCAAACCCTTTTTTCGAAGTTTTTTCTTTATTTTTATTTCAAATTTTGCATCTGCATTTTTTTTAAACACCTCATACCCCTGCAAGAAACAAAAATTCATTTTTTTTAAAATTCAGGTGAACTTAGCGACCATATATCTCATGATAAAAAATGACAAAAACAAAATTTTGTTTTTTTAATAAGATTATTATTATTATTTTTATCCAATTTAGTTTTTGAGTTAAAAAAAATCCTAAACAAAGTCAGATTCCAAAAAAAAAAAAAAGGGGTTGTAGGGCTTAAAATTCCCTACAACCTTGTATAGTTTTTTTTGTTTTTTTACCTATTATTCAATTCAGGAAAATTCTGGTAAAATCGGGTCCGCGGCGCARACCAGGTGGCCCGCGGAGGCGGCCGCATATACGTCCGTCCTTCGAGCTTGACCCTGCGAACGCGTCCGAGGGTGTTTCATAGGGGCTGGGTATAAGGAGAGGGGGTGTAGTCTGTTTTTGTGAAAAGTGTGAGAATCCTAAGGGATTTATGAGTCTTTGAGACTCAAATACTTACCATGTTGAATGTTTATTGTTGAGTTATGATGAAGACCCATAAGTTGGTCTCTTAATTTGAGTTGTTTTATTGTTGCGATACTTCGAGTGAGAAGGCAGTGTTTTGTTTATTTGGAGACTCATYTTTAGAGAGGGAAGATGTTTTATGGCAAGGTCGTGTGAGAGTTCATCCTAGAAAGAGAAGGGATAACAGGGATCCTAGAAAGAGAAGGGATAACAGGGAGACCTATTGAGTGAAACCTCCTTCATATGAAAGGTGGTTAATAAATTTAATGGCACGGAAGGCTAATTTTGAATGATAGAGATTGACGAGAAGGACTATGTTTTTGTTTGGTCATTCGTAAAATTTTGGAGTTCGCAAGAATGATTTATCTGGAAGATGTCACTAAGATGTGACTTTCTTGCTCTGATCTAGTAGGGAGGTTATGACCTTGTGAATTTGGCGGTGATTATGTTTTGTGAATGTGGAGAGGTTGACGTGTTTCTCTGTGTTGTCCCACAAAGAACTGATAAATACCTTTTATGTGTGACAGACCTTTGCGTAGTCCCCCAGTATGTTTGTATTATTGCGACACACCGTCCAGCCGCTTGTGCTAATCTTATGACATTTATGAAATTATGAGATTACCAAAATAACGGTGAAGTTTAGCATCACTAAGGTGCAACCCCTAGTGTCGGCTGCTGATCGGCGTAACCTGAACATCGGGCCTACGTCTTACCAAGGGAGTAAAGACTTAAAGGGGTGTGGCCACCTAGGAGGGTTTTACTCCTGTGGGAGGGGTGTGAGATAAGAGTCGAGTCTTTTTGAGTTCTGATTGAATGCTTATCAGGAGAAAGCTTATCGTGGCACAACCTGCGAGGGCACTACCACTAAAATAACAACGCGGTGGACCGTAGATCTGGCATGATCACCCAGACTATGGTGGGCAAAGATAGAGACCTGACCTACCTGTACTAGACTGCAGGAAGGGTCTAAGATAAAATTTATGTATATATATATGTTTGATTGAAAGAATTATTAAAGGGACGCAATAATGCCTTCGAAGGTCTTGGTTAGGGTCCGCGTCCCTAGTTATGGCCCTGCTAGCAGGGTAGAAACTAGAAACACTTAACGAGACGCCGACGTTTGTCTAGGACAAAGGGGAAGAGGACAGTAAGATGGTCGTTGGAACTTATGCTGTAGTATAGTGCCAGTATCCTGGCATCCTAATGTCAGGACAATGGAGACGCATGCTTAAATCCTGGCAGCATACAGTTGTGTTGGCATGATTTGATGGAGGCCTTGAACTGGAGTCTGTCAGCTAATCGCATTGGTTACCTTCTCGTCAAAATTTTGGCTATGGATGAATTCATAACTTTTTGATTTTGCGAAGCGACGGGGACGTCGCTTAATATGATCCGGTAAACTGTCGGTGCGAATACCCTTACAAGGGTATCCGCCCTAGTTTTTGCAAGCGATAAAAAGTAAGTTTAGTTTATGGTTTGAGTATACCGCGGGAGGCGCGACTGTGTCTTTAGTTTACGATTGACTAATCAGTCTAAATGTTGGCTAAAGTAGAGAGTGTATGGGCACGTAGATTTGAGTCGCGCATGATCTTTTCTAATTGTTGATGATCGAAGAGTCAGCGTCATCGCCGTCTAAGTATTTTTTCTGATCAAACAGGGATTAAAAAGATTACGTCTCTGGATTGGTGTGCTTGCTTGTGACTGGTGCATACGTGCGGAGGACGACATCGGCAACACGCACACCAAACGCAACTTACGCACCGTTCGTAATTACCATAGCCGTCAGCTCTCTGGTCGGGCAATGGATTGGATATCCCCCGCCGCTCAGGCGGTTTGCTTGAAAAATACCGAGAGAGACCCCTTTCCTTACCGTAGCCCCATCATGGCGGTGCACTGGGAAGCTCCGACCGACTGGCGCACCTCGCCAGTAGCGCCAACCGCCACCCCCCCCTAGACTGCGTACCCAGATTCTCTTTTACCTTCTGCTGTTTCTCAACTTTTCAAAATTCAAATGGGACGCTGGACCCGTTTTCCAGCAGGTGTGGCTCCCCACCAATAGATTGGAGCAACCTGATCGCGCACTAGGGGAGGCTGCGCGTATCACCTTCCCTAGTGACATTGGTCCGGCTTTTTCTCCCAAAAAAARAAACCCCCCCCCCCCCTCCCCCTCCAGCATTTATGCTTCAGCTGATCTTTGTCCGATGCTTTCGACCGCAGATATGAGCGTGTTCAGTCTGTCAGGTCCTCGGGCCTCGCCCGAGCACTGACCGAAAGTGAGAATGGCGATGTATCTGACGCATAGATCGTGCAATATACGTCGCAGTTTTCAGAGTCTGCGGGTGGTCAAAAGAGTCGCCTACGGACAACTTCGGGCGTTACGAAGAGGGAACAGGACTTCGCTGCACCGCTCGGCAAATACCGAAGGGTCTGAACCGGTCAAATACGACAAATGCGAATTGGCGTGCGAAGCGCAGTGGCGAAGGGTACTCCCGCCACGGAATCTACGCAGATCAGCAGGACAGTAGAGGAGTGCCAGGAACACGACAAAAGAGCTCGCCAAACAGCCGAAGAGGCTGACCACTTGGCGGGTTGTGTACGCTAGATTGGTCATTGTAATCTACGGCGAGGAACAGGCGATCGTGCGTTTCCGCTCGCTCTTGTCAAGCCCCAGCAGCTGCCGCGACCTCCCGTTTGCACCACTTAGCGCAGGGCCCAAAGATAGATTGATTTTTGATGTGCGAAAGTGCATACGGTTCCTCGGACATCGGTGAATAAAGCGCATTGCTGGCGGTGTTTGCGTGAGACAGACCAGTGAGTTTGATGCTGCCGCATTGAGGCAGCATTGCTCGAGTCACGCCGCTGCGCCTCCTTCACAGCTGCGCCACCATCTCTGTGGAAAAGGACAGGAGTGCATTGTATCGATTCGGCAAGTGGTGTGTCCAATTCTCTTGCCTCTAGATCATAGTCGTCGGGCGTCAAGGGATCGGCATCTATTTGGTAACAGGCAGACGTTCTGTTCGCCCGGAGTCTCAGTACGGTGGCAATAATGGCGGGGCGCGTGCTGCTTTCCCCGCTGCCGTTGATTGCAGTCCTTTTGCTGCATATCGGTCTGGCGAGAGCCGCGACTACCAATCCGGGAGTGGAGTCATTAACACGTATCACTCTGCCCCTCACCGAGATTCGTACGCCACCTATCAACTATCCAAGGTATGGAAGACATCGGTCTTGATTGCTCTCCTCTCATAATCACGGTTGTCTCGATGAAGCGTACGATTTGTCCTGCATCGTAAAGACCAAATGCGATTCCAAGTACCAGATGTGATAATCCGTCCTTGATGGCAGGAAATAGGGTCTTATCGTCGGAGTTAGATGCATTGGCGGGCTCGGGATGGAGAGGAGGKGGATTGCTGGTCCAAGTGCGGAAGTCCTTGTGAAACAGACTTGTGGTTGATGCTAATCATCCATCGGATATGACAAGGTCGTCAATCTGTGTGATATTCTGTTTTTTTTCCCCTTTTACAGATTTTCTCCAGTGTAGTCCCGCGGCAAAAGAGTGCAGTCTGCATTTACTAATTACACCCGCTTCCTATGTTGCTGGTCTGGTAGTTCTCTCCCATCCTTCGGATGTGACAGCCTGACAGGCCGTCAAATGTTGGTGGTAGTTCCCTCCCATCCTTCGTCCTTTACTGGCGCGTCTTCCCTTCTCGAGTCCTTCCTCGATTCTCTTCTAGGAGATCGGAGTCAGTGATGGAGTGATTGGTTGGGGGTCCGCTTTCGAGAACGAGCAACATGGGAATCAAGCGTTATGCGGGACATGGCGGGATACGCGCTCTCATGTCACCTGGTTGAATATCACGTCAGGACTGAAGAGTATTAAATCACTACCCACCCAAGCCACTCTCCGCAAATAAGCTCCGCGAAAAAATGAAGCCCAGACGTTTACACTTAGACTGATTGGCGTTGCCTCAATGCTGTCGGGGAAAGTCCGGTCGCTGTACGCGTTCGTGCCCTCTACCTGCAAAGGTAGTCAGGCTTTTACTTGTCGTGATAAACCTGAGTCCTCGGATGGTTTTTGACTCGGCTCCGTGAGGGGACTGTGAGAATGGAGGTACGGAGAACGAAAGACGCGTTGCCAGAAACAAGATGCAATGAAAGGTGCGCGAATTTGCGGCCAAGATCTGTCGGATGCATTGGCTGCAGTGTCCGTGAAGAGGAAGCACTGGATGTGCCGGCCTCTTTCAGTGAGGGGAATCTAGTTCAGTCATTCAAACTATCTCTGAAGCAGGTTTTCGTCCATATCGACTTCTCCTAGAGTCTACGCCCTCCGTCTGAGGATGGAGGTGTTGCTTGCTTGCGGTGGTTCTGTAGTGTGATGGCTCATCACCTCCGTCGTTTTTGGTATAACCTTATGTCATGTCTGCGGAGCAGATTTCACATCAGATACCTTTACTAGAGTCAGTAATCAGTGTTCTTAATTTTGGTATGGAGGTGATGGTGGTTTTGCGTGGGATATCTCATCGTTTCTTTGTCTGTTTTTCTTTGGAAATACTTTTTCTCCCTGCGACTTGAGGGGATACCTCATCTCGCCTGCTGACGCTGATGGAGTGTTTCTCGTGCGTGGACTGTGAACAATGTCTCTCTTCGGTAGAGCATTGAACTACCAGCCACCGAGGAAAATGGCGTGGTGGCTATGCGTGTCACCTGTCGTTGGCAGTGACGAATCGTGATGACTCTCCTCGCAGTGATATTCACGTTTCCAGGGGAAGTTTCCTCTTTGCCGGTGATGTTGCCCGGGTTTCCGTAGATTTGTGACGGTTGACGATGAACCGAGCGCCATGGGTCTGAATGTGGCAGCTTGGAGACTCGTACCAGGACGTGTCTGCAGAACTGCATTCTGACATGCCTTGGGTTGTTCCCGTTATGTAAGGCCGAAGTCGCTTCTTCAAGAGCGCAATGTCGTTTTTCCATTGAGAGAATTCTCGGGTGAAGTTTCCGAGGATCCCAAACAGCCGGGTCGTTTTAGGGCGCGGTAGTGGCTGTACTCTGATTTGCGTGTGTCATTTCTGCGCCATGCGAATCTTCCCTGTATCGTTCCAATTTTAGCTGATTCCCCGTAGGCTGCGGCCGTTCTTCAAACGTGAACACGGGAGTATTGCTGGTTTAGGAGATTCTCAGTAAACCTTTTTACCAAAACTCGCAGCAGAAGCTTAATATATGCCCATAAAATCCGCAGACAGACCGGACCGGTGTGTCACGGTCAGGATGCGCACGGTCATTCCTCCCATGCGTAGGCGACTTTATGCGTCAGCCTTGCAACACAGTACGTGTACGTTCTGTACACACCGTGGCGTTCCAGCCATCGCACTAGCAACGGGCAGTCCTAGAGGCCTGAGCTCAGACGAGCGGTTTCCCCCCCCCTGGATGAAATTCGGATGATCCGGGGCCTTGTCTCACTCATACGACTTAGCCGTTTATCTTCTTCACTATCCACCGTACATATCTTCCGATGTTTGCCTGCAAAAGGAACATGATCCCCGGTCGTCGGACCTGCCAACGTTGGACTTTCTCTCGCATGAATACTGAAATTATAAAGAATTGCAAGAATTGCTGCACCGCAGACATCAGCTGTCCCTGTAATAAATAATACCAAGGATCGTGATGTCGGGTACTGTGTCTCGGCTGAATCTAGCTCTATCTTGAGGTGAAGAATATCTAAGTAAGTCCTTGTATACTATCAAGTCGTGACTTTTTTTTTGTTTTTTTTTTGTTGAAAAATTTGGACCATTTCTCGATTTATGCGTGTCATCCTTGCGCAGGGGCCATGCTAATCTTCTCTGTCATCCTTGCGAAGTCGTGACTTTTTCTGGTCCATGCGTCTCGGCTTGGTTGTGGTGCGACCTCGTGCGGTCCGCTTTCACGACTTCTACTCAGAAGCAGTTTGCCGTAGGGTGGTTACTAGACGAATTGTTTTCAGCTGCTTAATTTGCTTATCTGAGCGTCGGAATCAGTTGCCACACCTGTGCTGCATTACGACCAATGAGGATGACAACAATTTCAGATTTTCTGCAATTTGTTTTGAAGTTTCTTATTTCATTCATCTTGTTGTTCCGTACGGATCGGACTCACGTCTGTAAGTCAACAGCTCGCGTCGGAACATGTAATTATTGTTTTCGGCCTCAGCAATTGCGGTTCAGCTCTTAGTTGGCCTCTAATTTGTTTGCTGATTGCGGTCTGTTACTTTGCTGGCAACTCGCTGTTGCAGGGTCTATGCAGTTAATGTGACCCTTGGAACGCCCGGGCAACCACGGACCCTCGTAGTTGATGTGAACAGCCAGATGACATGGACACACTCCTACAAAACACCCGCTTTCCCGGCTGTGAAGAACAAGATTGTAAGTTTTTCTTCCCTTGGCTTTTTCCTCACTTTCGGCCGTGGACTTTCTCGGCATCTCGCTACCGTTTTCACCGGAATAGAACGCCCCCTCGTTATCGCTGTATCTCGACTGAGACTCGCCCCAAGTTCAACGTAGTGACCGGGCGTTTCCTATGCTGTAGAATACGGCAGGAGTGAGTTTTCTCCCACTTACCTTTTTCGATTCCCAATCGTTGATGGCGAAGGTCAACGGCCATAAGCCGGAAAGTGGGACATTGTCCAGGGTGTCTTCGGTGTGAGAAAGCAGTGAACACAGCAGCATCCTGTGTGTGGCTTACAAGTTACCACCGAGGTGGATGGTTGGATTTCTCGTCATTTGTATACTCGTTGTTTTAAGGCTTTTCGGTTTTTATGAGCATTTGCCGGTGAATCGCAGCTAACACTTTGCTTCATGTGTAACGATTATGGACGTTTTTCGCAGTGGATGTTGGAGTGATGGGTGAATGAATGAATGATAACCAGATCTGTAAAAGTGTCAACTAACAGAGGGGACGGTCTTGTCTGCGTTGGAACGTCCATTGGTTCGTACGGGTCTGCAGAATCCTCCATTTTATACGGCGAACTCGTCCTCTGTCAAATTTACGGGATGCAAAACCGACGAATGCTCTGCGGCGCACTATATCTCCACGTCGCTTGCGCCCGAAGAATTCTGCTTGGCTGATGACTGTGGATACAATGTTACTCTTCAGATAGACGATAACGATGTTATGCAATACACAGCGGGGGTTCTCGGAAGCGACGTGTTGGGTATCGGCGGTAACAAGATGGTCTCTTCTGGGCCCCTCGGGTGAGTGCGACTCTCTCTCCCAGAACAGAACCTTCAATTGATCGGCCTTATTAGGAAGACATGCACTCTCGGATTCGCAACGGCTGTAAGATGCATCCGCGGCCATCCAGTAAGGCCCTAGCTATATTCAGTACCTTGCGCAACTCGCTTGCTGTCGGAGGAATTCTCTCGGGACATTCATATGCCATGATTGCCATGCGTTACGTCCTGTGGGCGCGTTGTCTCGGGGAATTCGTCATCGGTTGTCTTTGGAGGGGCTTTCTTGGTTGGACCTGTCTGAGGGTATGTCAGCGTGAAACTTGTGGGCCGACCGTTGGCTACTGAACAGAGGAACGTCACGCCCTCTCGGTCATAAAGCGTCTCCGTATTTGCTAATCTCACTTGGATCGAGTACCACTGGGGAGTGGGCTCGAAAAGCCTCCAAATGAGAACGGACTGGCCGGTAGCCTGGTAATATACGCGTGTCAGCAGATGGTTGCTCAAGGTGGCCTAGTCGTTGACGGCTGCCTATCTATCGAGTTGTGCCACATTATTGATTGTCCTCTGTTTGCTCACGATTGTAATTGTTTGTTCGTGATTGTGGTGATATGCGTGATGGATGGACACTTGCAGATTCAGCTTCGTCACGGAAGGAAGATTTGCGAACCTGACAACCGACGGAGTGCTGGGTCTTGCCATGGTCAATACTTCCACCCTGTCATCCTTAGTGAAGCTGTACAATATTCCCAAGACAATAAGCATATGCATCGATGGAGCAGCCGGAGGGGTGTTATCCCTCGGACAACTGCCGGTCGCTCTCGAAGGCGAGACTCTGAAGTACATGGCCCTCGTCGATACAACAGACGTGCTCGTGTAAGTGAAGGGAATAGCTTGCTCGCTTTTTCCCCCCGCCTGGTTTACCTTTTAGAAACACGACACACACACACAGACACACACACACACACACACACACACACACACACACACACACACACACACGTTCACACACAAATATGGTTTCTGGCTGGCGTGGTTATAAGGTGGCATTGGTTTAGGGGCTCCCTGCTATGCCCCCGTATATTCTGTTCCTCTCGCAAATCTTTTTATCCCCGTCTCAAATCACTACCCCTGTTTGGTGGATGTTCGTCTCTACTTTCGTCCTACTCGATAAGTAAGTAGTTTCTCTAATTGGCGGGTTGCTCAGCCTCATTTTTCTTCCCAGTTGTTTGTTTGGGAGGGTCGGTATGCGGTTTGTCGAGCGATATCTCTTCCCAGTTCTGAGTCCATGTTTGCCGGGGATAACAGGCCGGACTGGAGCCCCCTAGAATAAATGGGCCTTGTTTCTCTCTCACAAAACAGAAAGTGCGACATTTGATCACTCCGTACTGGATTGTGACCCCCTGTCCTTGATGAATGAGAACTGGGGGTGTAGGTAGAGTTTTTTTCATCCTGCCACACTATGCACATATTCAGTTTTGGTAACTCCTGATTCTTTTGGTTGATGTGGTGAATTACAGGGGATTCGATATGTACGCTGTTAACGTGAGCGGAGCAGCTGTGACGGGCTTCGCGAAGACCAAGCCTTTGAATTATGTCGGTGTTCTCAACACAGCGGTCGACATGACCTTTGTGCCCCTCGAGATGTATTCGGGTCTCCTCACGCTTGTAAGTACGACTGCTATTGTAATAGATAATAGTGGAGTGTTTCCGACACAGGTTCACTCACCTCCCCGGGGTGGGGTGCTTGGTTATCAAAACCTAAGGAGATTATTCAAATATCGAAGCAATTGAAAAAACATAAATGGAAGAGGCAGGTGATCGGGCCGAGCTGGGAAGGCTAATGCATTTGCTTTAAGGGTTGGCGACTTCAACGACTTGTCGTTTTGGCAACAGGCGACTCAAACCGTTTTTTTTCTGAAGGGTTGTGTAGTCTTGGTACAAGGCGACTCATGCCAATTGGTTGTGTAGGTTTTCGCAGAAGGTCTCGTTTCTATTGTTCACCCAGTGTGGAATCGCTGAATATGGGCCTCGCTGCACTACTCTCGAAATGTGCAAAACGAGAGTGAATCTTCCGCTTGAATATGGAAAGATGCACCGCCATGATTTTTGTCTTTTGTGCATGTCGAGAGTAGTGCAGCTACGCCCTATTAGAGCTTTTTTCCTTCCAAGGCGTAGTGTATGTTTCGTGTCCAGCATGCAGTTGTCGGGAGTTTTTAGGTACATCACTTGCCGAACGTTTTCTGGGTTTCAGATGCTTCAGGGAATATCGTACTACAATAAGCAGAGCTGATCCCCGATTTACGAGCCTGGAATTGGGCTACACAAAATTTGTTTTTTTTTTCAGCTCTGGGTTTCGATTGATTGTGCTAGCATTACTGTCGATATTGTCTCTCGACGTGTGACAGAGAATCATGCATCAGGATAAGCTCCACGTTGAAATTCATTCAAGCTAGTGGCGGATGGCGAGTCCAAGCCCCTCTAGCTTGCACACTAATGTAGCGCGCCGCCCAGGACCTCGTCTCCCAACACGCTCTCGGGTTCCACAAGGGCGGCGATCCGGCGCACTGAGAAGAGCAGTCCTGTCGAACGAAGTACGGATTGTTAATGGCAGCGGGGAAAGAGGGCGGACGACCGGAGATCAGGAGGCGTCACAGAAAGCTGATGGCACACATTCCCTTGGATCTGAGAGAGCCTGTCCCAAGAGTAGGTAGGACGGAGTTTTAGGATCACCCCTCGCTAGTTGAATCCAGAGCATGCCCGAGTTTGTCTTAACCAGGCATGCGGGCGTGTTTGTAGCGTAATGTTGAAATATGTTTGCAGCAGCACCCTGGGATGACGATGGATTTTGTAAGTGCGCTTTGGTGTGATGGTTAACCAGGTTTTGTGTGGTGCTTGTGAACCCTCGGTGTTCTCTGCCTTGCAGCTTAAGGAGAGCGCTTCTGTGCCGACGTTCGACGTTCAAGTCCCGGGCATGAACATTACCTGCTACAATGCTCCGAGCTGGTGAGTAACGATTCCCAAGCATAGTGGATAGTAAAGACTGTATTATAAATGATGGATATCATTGGGTGATCATCGTTATGGCTCGTTGCCGCATCGCTTCCGGATCCGAGGTTCAACGTGATTGTTATTGCGTGCGCTTGTGGGAAAGGAAATGTCGAGACTTTTAAACTATAAAACCGAACGTGTCCCCCGAGCATTAAGTTAAGCGCTGACACAGCAAATAGCATGCGAGTCCTGGGATGCTTGTCGAAAGCAGTGTAACGGTCGTCACCGCGTCAATGACGCCCGCGGTTCGATCTGTTGTTCATGGGTTGCCTGGTCGCGGCTCCGTGGTCGGTCGATCTGTTGTTTGGGCGATGCATGGCATGTGGACTGAACGCACTGCCCCGAACTCTCTTCTTGGTGTCATGCTAGCTCTTCCCAAATGGTTTGTAAATTTTTGACTTCTATTTTTGACCTCATGGTTCTGACCTTTTCGTCCCTTGCTGCAAATTACACGGCTGCAGTGACGTGACGTACCTGCCGACGGCGACGATCGACCTGGCAAACGTGACTCTTACGGCGACACCGCAGGACTACACCTTCTCTATTCCAACGGTAAGTCGGTGAAAGAGTTGTTTTCTTGCATGGAACGATCCCATTGATGATCTGTCAAAAGATTCATAGAGGGGACAACTGATTGCTGCTTCAGAAAACAGAAACAATGAAAGAAAATGGAATGATTGCTGCTCCATTTGATTATCGGAAACTTCCGCATACTCGCGTCTACGGAATTCCACCAAATGCTGGGCTGAATAGTAAAAGGAAACCGCTCCGCCATGCAAGGGGTAATGGACCTTCCAGCGTACTTATCACGCATACGCAACATCATGCTTCCTCTGACTCGTTCCAGATGGCAGGTGGCAGAGAACTCTTCTTCCGTCCTACGGACGACGTACTTTTTCGTTGAGGTTCTTGTCACGGTTTCCTAAAAAGCCTTACGGTCTCGCCGCACTACTCATAAAACGAAAACAATGTGTGCACCTTCTGCAGGAAGGTGGCAAAATGCATCCTCACTCTTCGTAGTAACGGATGAATAGTTCCACGTTCTTTGGGAAGATTCCCTCACATTTCTTCGTTTCGGGAGTGGTGTGGTGAGCCCCTTAGTGGGTAAGAGAGAGCATCTGACATAATACCGTTTAAGAAGGTCCGTGGACGCGTGGTTGAGGAGGGAAAATGCGTCACGAAACAGACGTTCTCCTCTACAATGTATTCTGCATAAAATAGAGAAAAACGTTGTAGGGATTATTCACAAGGTGCACATCCTTTGGCATACAATGTAATCTGCATAAAATAGAGAAAAACGTTGTAGGGATTATTCACAAGGTGCACATCCTTTGGCATTCTTTTTGTTTTTTTGGTCTTCGAGTAGGAGGCGCATGAAAAATTTGGACCATTTCTCGATTTATACGTGTCATCCTTGCGCAGGGGCCATGCTAATCTTCTCTGTATCGTTCCAATTTTAACGGATGTTCCGAAGGACTCCTTTGGCATTCTGCATCTGCACGAGCTCACTGTTATGCAGTCAGGAATGCACCTCGGCGCCGCGAAATGCGTCGCTGTATGGGCCTCGCTGCACTACTCTCGACATGCACAAAAGACAAAAATCATGGAGGTGCATCTTTCCATATTCTAGCGGAAGATTCACTCTCGTTTTGCACATTTCCAGAGCAGTGCAGCGAGGCCCTATATTGGCGTTTTTCCACAGGGGGAGGTTGCAATGATACACGAATGAGTTCTGATGCAGGCACTGGCCAGGCAGCGAATGTGCATTCCCGAATGGCAGTTATGGGATGGCCGGTAGTACCCCGGTACATATGTGAAACGGGACGGGTTGGGTGAATAATTGACAATTTGACATCGCTTTTCGGCTATCTGCTTTTCTTCGAACTATTTCCTTCGCATTAAAAATTACCTTCCATTTTAAATGCAACTGGCCGCGGCTGTGGATGGGACGAACGCTATCTAACACGTTTTTCTGTTGCCTTTTCTCCTTCGCCTGGCCATTTCGGTTCGGCCATGCTGTTGTAAAAAACCGGCGCTTCTTCAGGAGAACGGTCAGTGTGTGGTGTGCTTCAATATCCTGCCTTGGGGCTTTGACAACGCGATGATGATCGGAGGTACGTCGCAATCAGCTCCCTCGTCCTCCTTTGCTCCTCTTTTGGTCCGTGCAATTATTTCGTTGCTCGCCCCGGTTCCGAGAAGAATCTTGGGCAAATTGCAGGAATACCGGTTCCGAGAAGTATCTTCATGGAACCGGGTACTTCTGCAATTTGCCCCAGCTTAGCCAGCTATAATACTTCTCGGAACCGGTATTTCTGTTATACGATGCTTCTTGGAACCGGTATTTCTGCAACGATAAKTCTCGGAACCGGTATTTCTGCAATTTGCCGTTCTCAGAATATGCAAGGTCGAGTCTGGTCGACTCTTTTCTCTTCGTTGGCCCACACAGTAAATCAGCAATCGCCGTCTGTCAACTATGCTTGTGCTAAATGATCGAACAGCACGCTGCTTCACTTCTAGGAGGAAGGACTGTGGTCACCGTTGTGCCACTTGATTGCTTGTTCGCTCGTTGATGGGTTCGCTCGTTTTCGGAATGGGGAGTTTTGTTTGCTCCCTCGGTATGGGCTCCATCGCTTTTGCAATTGCCCTACTTGATTGCTTGTTCGCTCGTCGATGAGTGCGCTTGCTTTTGAAATGGACGCGACGTGGCAGCGGTTTCTTCGCGTCTGTAGCACGCAGTTCAGTCACCATGATGTATGTGACAAACGGTGTCTCCCGAGCCCGCACTTGATTGAAAACTGTGGACTGACAACCAGACATGTGTCGAACAACGTGGATGCTTTTCTCACAGGACGTCGATGAAGATAATGCAATCAGTAATAAAAGGCCATTTTGGAATCTGCAATATGACAACGTTGTTTCGAGCTGGCTGTGATGACGATGTCGCCCTACGTAGGTTCCAAGCATGATGGTGCCAATCCATGTAACCTGCACTGGGCGCGATGTGGGCTGACATTATCGTGACTGTCGTTGTTTTGTAATGTCTTGGGACTTGGATGACATGAAACCCAGCCAACTTTCTTAAGAAGACGTGGATGATCATCGACGCCGAGAAGAAACGGGTTGCCTTCACGAACAGCAAGCCCTGTAAGTAGCGAACGGGCTGAATACTACTCTTGCGATCTCTACCGACATTCTTCTTTTTGGCCGCATTGTGTTTTGTCAAACCTTTGTTTTGAACTTCCACCACGGATGGCACCACCGTATTTCAACCCCAGGAAACGTCAGAGCTTCACTATACCACTAGATCACGCGAGCCAAAGTTGTGGCCTGGCTGCTATACGCTGTAAGACAGTTCAGCTTCGGCCCTGTGCCGGTAGCGAAAGCAGCAGGCCACATCGAAAAGGCGCAAATGCAGGCTCGTAGTCAAGAGTGATAGAGTGCGTTCGTCCGCAAAGTGAAGACTCGTTCAAGGGAATTAAGGCTGATGTTGATCGTCTTTCCAACTCCTCAGGGGAGACATGAGCACTATGCACTTCCAGTGCACTGTCGTGCTGGGGACCGTCCTGAGGTGTGAACGTTCCTGTGTAGGTACTCGGTATGAGCGCGCGCGCGTGTGTCCGTGTGTCCGTGTGTGTGTGTGAGCGCTTGGGGGCGGGGAGAAAGCGGAGAGAGAGAGAGAGAGAGAGAGAGAGAGAGAGAGAGAGAGAGAGAGAGCACTCATGTACGCCGAACTTTTTTTTTCCCCTTTTTTTCCTAATGAAACCTCAGGGCAGGAGCCCGCTTGAAAGGGTGATAAGAGCAGCCCTCTTAAGTGGGGCCTGCGAGGAAGGCTCCATCTATTGGTGCGGAGCAGCACCTGGCACCTGCTGGGAAGCGGGTCCAGCGTCCCTGTAAATGGCAGATTTCGATGGAATCCAATAGTTTGTCTGAGTACTGCTAAAATGCATGCAACTACTGTCCTGCTAAGACTGACCCGGTATCCTGTTGCTCAGGCCTGCAGATTTGTGGTTCCTAATTGTATGCCGAGTGTTTTGCCCTGGAAGTGGTGGCCTGCTACGTTGTCGGACTAAGCCTGAGATGATCTGTGTACCTTTCGCGGTAGGACCTCCAGCTGCTTGCCGTTCGCTGCTCTCTCCAGATCCGGTCCTGCACCTCCGTTACTAGCAGACCCTGTCCGTTGACCCCTCCCTCACCCCGCCGGCTACCAACGAACCTCCACCCCCTCCCAAACCCCCCCAACAGCCCGGCCTCCACCACCCCTTCCTCAAACACCGCCGCAGCTTACCCCTCCACCCGCTCCCCATCTAACAAACACCCCACCCTCTCTAACTCGCCCTGGTCCTGTTTCCCTGCAGGATACCCAGCTCCCGGCCACCCACCCACTATCTATGACCCCCCCCCGTTCTCCCCCCCCCCCCCCCCCCCCCCCCCCCCCCCC